CAAAACACCTGGAGGGCCCAAGTTTGCCCATGCCTGATCTAGGGTTGCTTGGCATGGAGGGCAACAACTGTCGTACAAGAGAGCAGGAACCCCTCTGTAACCTTAAACACCACACCACCTTGGTAAAATCAGCAAGCAGTTTATTGAAGAATATATGTAGGTACAGCAGTAAAAATAGCAAAAACGGTAAAGGTCCAATACAAGTAAAATAGTCCATAAGCCTCAAAGGAAAACCAGATCCAAAAGTACACAGAAATCCATGACACTAGGCACTTGAATCCATGAAAAAAATCTCATAAACAAAACGGGAGCTTGGCAATAACTTGGTACATGAAACTAAGAGAACTTGAAAACAAGACCATGGTCAATTTCCAACACTGACCCGAATGAGGCTACTCTTTCCCATGCATCAATATAAGGCTTTTCCAGGTTCCAAAACTGCCAGGAAAGCATTTCTCTTGACCTTGCTACCAGATAACGGTTTGTTATCTTTCTTTTGCTGTAAGAGAATGGACTGTCTGAATCTTTGCAGACTTTGTCTCTGTTTACAGAAACTTTGCTTTCTGTCTAAGCTCTCAGGTGCAGGTGCTTACCTACAAAGCCCTAAACGGTTTGGGACCCATCTACCTGCGTGACCGCATTTCTGTATACGAACCCACACGATCCCTTCGTTCATCTGGAGAGGCCCTGCTCACAATCCCACCTGCATCGCAAGCACAATTGGTGGGGACGAGGGACAGGGCCTTTTCGGTGGTGGCCCCACGACTCTGGAACTCCCTCCCCAAGGACATCAGGCAGGCCCCAACGTTGGCAGTTTTTAGAAGGAGCTTGAAGACGTGGATGTTCCAGCGTGCCTTCCCAGAATCAGGACTCCCAAGCAATATGTCCCAAATGCACTTTATGAGAGAGTTAGTACTGTCTGCACGCCCACCTATCTTTCAAATATCCAACCTATTTCCCTGGACATGCCCAGCATTTTTAAATTTTAATTCTTACATTTGGCCCTGCCACAGGTTTTTAATTGTGTCGTGTCATTATTGTATTGTTTTGTTTTGTTATGAGTTATTTATTGTTGTATTGTTGTTATGTTTTATGATGTATTTGGGCTCGGCCTCTTGTAAGCCGCACCGAGTCCTGCGGGAGATGATAGCGGGGTATAAATAAAGGATTATTATTATTATTATTATTATTATTATTATTATTATTATTAGCTCTCTCTGAGCTCTCATTATTTTTTGCACCTGACAAATCATCTTCAGACAGTTGTTCTGAGATAAGCTGTGAAGGGCCCCTCTCAAGAATGTGGCCTTGGGAATCTTCCTCTCATCTGAGCTTTACTCAGGCCCAAGCAAACTCCCATCCCCAAAGCCACCATCATCCCCATCCCCATCATGAACATCAGCATTAACATGAACATCAAACACAATCACAGGCTGACACACAATGACAGCCATCCTTGGCTGCCTATTTGGCTCACCATTCAGCCAGGTCATGGAGCTGTCTGTCCGGATGACCTCCGAGGGGTTCCCGGTGACTCTGGAGATGAGGGGGTCCGTCCCCAGGAAGTTCCCAACTGTGGCCACGTAGAGGGCACCATCTAAGGGGTGGGAGGAGGAATGCATGACCGCTTGGTAGGGAGAGCATGAAGGGAAGCCCTTGTTTTGCCCCCAAGAGAACCCCATTCTCTGACCACCCACCTCCCCGAGAGCATACCTGCCATGATGGCAGTGGAGGGCTGGAGGGGCTCAAAGGGGCAGTGCCCACGCCCGCTCTCCACATGCTCCACGCTCCGGAAGTCACTCAGCTTCTGCAAAGAGACATCAACATTGGAGGGGAATGGTCACCTGTTAAAGGGAGGGAACTGGACCCCACTAGCAAAAGGGTCTGACCCCAACACAAGGAAGAGGATTGGGAAAGATGCCTTGGTCAAAGGGCCACTCACAATGTAGCCACAGCGGGGATCGAAGGCAAAGGTGCCACAGACTAAGAGGTGGCTCTGATTGACGAACTGCAAGATGCGGATGAAGTTCTGGCACTCGGCCTGCAGGCAAAGAAGGCAGGAAGGTGAGGGGGAAAGAAGGGGTGTCACTCTGTCTATCTGGCAGGAAGCAGGGGACTGCAAAGGCAAGGGAGGGTCCCACCTGATGGATGGGAAAGTTTGGGGTCAAATAGAGTTGAGGCTTTAGGATGCTCCCACTCTCAGCACTAGGGCTACAATGCATGTTGGCTCTAGAGCTGAGATGTGGGGCACAGCATTCCTGGACATGTGGGAACTGCATCCTTGCCCCTATCTTGTTTAATACAGTCATCAATGATCTGGAATACCACCTCACCCGCCTCATAGGAAACCTGCTACAAAACAGGAGCTTCTTTGTTGAGTTCCAGGGCCAGAGAAGCAGATGGCGGAAACAAAAGAACGGCCTGCCTCAGGGGAGCGTGCTTATTCCATCCATGTTCAACATCTACACAAATGACCAGCCACTGCCAGAAGGGACAGAGAGTTTCATCTATGCAGATGATCGTGCCATTACCGCTCAAGCAGGAAGATTTGAGATGGTTGAACAGAAGCTCTCAGAAGCTCTAGGTGCTCTAACTGCCTATTATAGGGGAAACCAGCTGATCTCTAATCCATCTGAAACACAGACATGTGCCTTTCACCTTAAGAACAGACAAGCATCCTGAGCTCTGAGGATGATTCCCTGGGAAGGAATCCCACTGGAGCATTGCAGCGCACCCAAATACCTGGGAGTCACTCTGGACCATGCTCTGACCTACAAGAAGCACTGCCTGAACATCAAGCAAAAAGTGGGTGCTAGAAACAAGATCATACGAAAGCTGACTGGCACAACCTGGGGATCACAACCAGACACAGTGAAGACATCTGCCCTTGCGCTGTGCTACTCTGCTGCTGAGTATGCATGCCCAGTGTGGAACACATCTCACCACACTAAAACAGTGGATGTGGCTCTTAATGAGACATGCCGCATTATCACGGGGTGTCTGCGCCCTACACCACTGGAGAAATTACACTGCTTAGCCGGTATTCCACCACCTGACATCCGCCGGGAAGTAGCAGCCAATAGTGAAAGGACCAAGGCAGAGACATCTCCAGCTCATCCCTGTTTGGGTATCAGCCAGCACGTCAACGACTTAAATCTAGAAATAGTTTTCTAAGATCTACAGAGACACTCGCTGGAACACCTCAGCAAGTGAGAGTCCAAAAGTGGCAGGCTCAAACCCAGAACCTCAACCAATGGCTGATACCAAATGAGAGACTCCCTCCTGGGCACACAGAAGACTGGGCGACTTGGAAGGTGCTGAACAGACTGCGCTCTGGCACCACGAGATGCAGAGCCAACCTCAAGAAATGGGGCTACAAAGTGGAATCCAAAACATGTGAGAGTGGAGAAGAGCAAACCACTGACCACCTGCTGCAATGCACCCTAAGCCCTGCCACATGATGCACCATGGAGGACCTCCTTGCGGCAACACCAGAGGAACTCCAAGGGGCCAGATACTGGTCAAAGAACATTTAATCAACTACCAAGTTTGCAAAATATGTGGTTTTCTATCTGTTTGTTTGTTTTGTTCTGTTAGAAATGTAATACAATGGTCTGGTTGCTGATGACACGATAAATAAATAATGATCTGGAAGAAACCTTATCGGACCTCAATGGACATTTGCCCAAGCTTGGAACAAGGAGAATCCCCTTATTGCTCTATGCCGATGATGCCGCTGTCATCTCACACTCTAGGGCAGGACTAAATTACCTATTCCTAAAGTATTGCTCACAGAAAAAAACTAAAAATCAATCACAGGAAGTGGGTTGCTGTGGGTTTTCAAAGCTGTGTGACCATGCAAGAAACAGGTGTTCTCAGAAGTTGAGGAGTTTGTTGGAAACTAGGCATTCAATGCTAATCGAGGCTTGGTTACATATTATTGACCCACTACTGAGCAACCTACCCAATAGATCAGCCTAGGTGACAACTTCCCCCAGGTGACTTTGACCGTTGCCAAGTTTCTCTCTAAGTTAGCCAGAACAAGACAACTTCCTGTATTAGACCCAGGTTGAAATTACCTTGGATATATTTGCAGTATTTTCCCCCTTGTTCATAGGTTGCCAGCCTTTGGGTCACTCAGGAGTGAGGGTAGGAAATGGGGGAATCAGGAGCCCAAAACCCCTGCCTCTGGGAGGATAGGGGGGGATGGGACCTCTGGGGTCCCTCTCTGGAACACTTTCCCTCTTCCCAAGGATACCCATTGCCCCATAGCATTCCTTGGGACATAGAGGTGCTGGGGAGCAGGACTTGCCTCTTTCTTCCCTTTCTGCGTGCAGGAGTCCCGGTGAGACTTTGGCACCATCCAGGAGATCTGAAACAAGACAGGGCACAAAGTCCAGGTTACATACAAATGGCCAAGATGTCTAACGGACAGTGAAGAGTGAAGAAGGGCGGCCAGGAAGACAGATTTCCACCATGTCTCCTGGGTCATCGGCTGGGAGCCCCCCCCCAGCACCAATACTACATCTGCCTGCCACCTCAGGAGGAGAAGGGGGAAATCCTGCTGCTTCTCTCCTTCTCTTTCCTCCTCCTTCTTTCTTTCTCTTCCTCTCCTTCTTTCCTTTTCTTTCCTTCTCTCCTTCCTTCTTCCTTCCTTCCTTCTCTACTTTCCTTCCTTCCCCTTTCTTTCCCTCCCTCTTTCTCTCTTCTTCCTTCTCTACCTCTTTTTTTCCTTCCTTCTCTTTCTTCCTGCTCCTTCTCCCTTTCCTTCTTTCTCCCTCCTCCCTCTTTCTCTTCTTTCTCCCCTTCCCTCCCTTTTCTTCCTCTTTCCTTCTCTTTCCTCTCCTTCTTCCTCTCACTTTCCTTCCTTCCCCCTTTTTCTTTCCCTCCCTCTTCTCTCTTTCTTCTTCTTCCTCTTTCTTCCTTCTCTCTTTTTCCACTCCTTCTCCTTTCCTTCTTTCTTTCCTCCCTCCCCCTCTTTCTTCCTTCTTTCCTTTCTTTTCTCCTTCCCTCCTTTTCTTCCTTCTCTCCTTTTTTCTTCCTTCTCTCCTTCCTCCTTCCTTCCCTTCCTCCTCCCCTTGTTCTTTCCCTCCCTCTTCCTCCTTCTTCCTTCTCTCTCTTTCTTCCTTCCTTCTTTGCTTCCCTCTTCCTTCTCCTTCCTTCTTCCTCCCTTCCCTCTTTCTTCTTTCTTTCTCACCTTCCCTCCCTCTTTCTTCCTTCTCCTTTTTTCTTTCCTTCTCTCCTTCCTTCCTTCTCTAACTTTCCTTCCTTCCCCCATTTTCTTTCCCTCCCTCTTTCTCTACTTTCTTCCTTCTCTACCTCTTTTCTTCCTTCCTTCTCTTTGCTTCCATGCTTCCTTCTCCCTTTCCTTCTTTCTTTCCCTCCCTCTTTCTTTTCTTTTTCTTTCTCTTCTTTCTTTCCCTTTCTTTTTCTCCCCTTCCTTCCCTTCTTCTAACTTCCTTCTTTCTTTCTTCCCTTTCTTTCCTTCCTTTTTCTCACCTCCCTCTTTCTTTTCCCCTCCTTCTCCTTTCTTTTTCCCTCCTCTTCTTTCTCCCTTCCTTCCCTCCCTCTTTCCTTCTCTTCCTTTTCTTTCCTTCTTCCTTCTTCCTTTCTTTCCCTCTCTCTTTCCTTCTCTCTTCCTTCCTTCTCTTTGCTTCCATTTCTTCTCCCTTCTTCTTTCTTTCTTCTTTCTTTCTTTCTTTTTTTCTTTTCTCCCCTTCCCTCCCTCTTTCTTCCTTTTTTCTGTATTGTCATTTAGCTTTTCGTCATTTTTGGGACCTTTTAAGTCCCTTCTGCTGTGTTTTTCCTGTGTTTTTATGAGTGAAGGACATACATTGGGTTGTGTCCAAATTTGGTGTCAATTCCCCCAGTGGGTTTTCAGTTCTGTTCATCCCACAAACGAACATGACATTTTTATTTATATACAGTAGATATGGGGGGAAAATAGTCACATGTGTTTCCATGAACCACCTGGGAAAATGGGGGGCCAAAGAGGAAGACCACCCCTCCTGCAGGCCCACGGACCCCCTGACTTTCCCTCCTCTTGCTGCTGAAGCCCCCCTCCCAACTCTCATATTCCTGCCCGAGTGAAGACAGGTCCATCAGACCTTTCGGGCTGCCCAGAAGGAAAGTGACATTGTCAATGGGTGGTCAGCCAAGCAGACCATCAGCCATTGAAAAACACTAAGAGTACAGAATCATAAAATCAACAGAGTTGGAAGAGACCACATGGGCCATCCAGTCCAACCCCTCGCCATGGAGGAAAAGCACAATCCAAAGCACAGAAGCCTTGGCGGGTGTCCCAGTGGCGCCCAGAGACCCCTCCAATACAGTCAAGACCCCAGCAAGGAGGAGAGCCTCACCTTCTTGGGGCGCTGGCTGATGGAGCCCAAGGTCAGGGCAAAGATGGCATCCCTGGCGCCCACGTAGAGCGTGTGCGAGTCCACCTGGAAGACGCTGAAGTTGGAAGCCCCTTCGGCAGAGAAGCGCTGAGCGGCACGGCTCACCTCTGCAAAGAGAGAACAAGCCAGAGGTGAGTCTCCACCATGGGGTGGGGGGGGGATGCAGACATTGTGGGACCCCCTGGGACACCCTGCCAACCTCCCTCTGGCTCCCTTTTGGTTGACACATTATTTATTTATGTAATCTGGACTCAGGGCGGATTACAATGTACATATACATGGCAAACATTCAATGCCATACACACACAACATGCATACACAGACACACAGAGGCTATTTAACATTCCAGCTTTTTCATGAGGGTATTCTGGCCACCAGGGGAGCTGTTGCTTCACTGTCTATTTGTGACACTGATGAAGTACTCCTCATTCTTTGCATGCTTGCTGAAGATTTTTATGGTGTCGTACATTAGTTAAGGAGTCCCCGGTGACGCAGTGCGTTAACGCACTGAGCTGTTGAACTTGTTGACTAAAAGGTCACAGGTTCGAATCTGGGGAGCGGCATGAGCTTCTGCTGTCAGCCCCAGTGTCTGCCAACCTAGCAGTTCTAAAACATGCAAAATGTGAGTAGATCAATAGGTACCACTCCAGCGGGAAGGTAGCGGTGCTCCATGCAGTCATGCTGGCCACATGACCTTGGAGGTGTCTACGGACAACGCCAGCTCTTCGGCTTAGAAATGGAAATTAGCACCACACCCAAGAGTCAGGCATGACTGGACTTCATGTCAGGGGAAAAACTTTCTTAATTTTCTTACTTGACAGGTGCAACTGTCTTTCGGGCGGCAAAGGTCAACAACAAACTATACATTCATCTCCCTGGCCTAGCACACCTCCAACTACAGGTGGTCTTGGATGGCAAACACTTCCTTGACCTATTTCAAACTGGCTTTAGAGCAGGATACGGAGTTGAGACTGCCATGATTGCCTTAGTGGATGGTCTCTGTCTCAACACCGACATGTCCCTGTTGGTGCTTCTAGACCTCTCATCAACCATGGTCTCCTTCTGGAACACCTGGAGGGGTTGGGAATTGCTTGCAGGTCTTTGATTGCAGGTGAACTGTAAATCCCAGCAACTACATCTCCCAAATGTCAAGGTCTCTTTTCCCCAAACTCCACTAGTGTTTACATTTGGGCATATTGAGTATTTGTGCCAAGTTTGGTTCAGATGTATCATTATTTCAGTCCATAGTGCTCTCTGGATGTAGGTGAACTACAACTCCCAAACTCCAGGTCAATGCCCACCAAACCTTTCCAGTATTTTCAGTTGGTCATGGGAGTTCTGCGTACTAAGCTTGGTTCATCTCCATCCTTGTTGGAGTTCAGAATGCTCTATGATTGTAGGTGACCTACAACTCCCAAACTCCAGGTCAATGCCCACCAGACCCTTCCTGTATTTTCTGTTGGTCATTAGAGTTCTGTGTGCCAAGTTTGGTTCAATTCCATCATTGGTGGAGTTCAGAATGCTCTTTGATTGTAGGTGAACTATAAATCCCAGCAACTGCAACTCCCAAACGTCAAAGTCTATTTCCTCCAAACTCCACTAGTGTTCATTTTTGGGCATATTGAGTATTTGTGCCAAGTTTTGTTCAGATCTATTATTATTTGAGTCCATAGTGCTCTCTGAATGTACGTGAACTACAATTCCAAAACTGAAGGTCAATACTCACCAGACCCTTTCAGTTTTTCAGTTGGTCATGGGAGTTCTGTGTACTAAGCTTGGTTCATCTCCATCCTTGTTGGAGTTCAAGTTTGGTTCAATTCCATCGTTGGTGGAGTTTAGAATGCTCTTCGATTGTAGGTGAACTATAAATCCCAGCAACTGCAACTCCCAAATGTCAAGGTCTATTTCCCCCAAACTCCACTAGTGTTCACTTTTGGGCATATTGAGTATCTGTGCCAAGTTTGGTTCAGATCTATCATTATTGGAGTCCATAGTGCTCTCTGGATGGAGGTGAACTACAACTCCCAAACTCCAGGTCAATGCCCACCAGATCCTTCCTGTATTTTCCATTGGTCATGGGAGTTCTGTGTACTAAGCTTGGTTCATCTCCATCCTTGTTGGAGTTCAGAATGCTCTTTGATTGTAGGTGACCTACAACTCCCAAACTCCAGGTCAATGCCCACCAGACCCTTCCAGTATTTTCTGTTGGTCATGGGAGTTCTGTGTGCCAAGATTGGTTCAATTCCATCATTGGTGGAGTTCAGAATGCTCTTTGATTGTAGGTGAACTATAAATCCCAGCAACTGTAACTCCCAAATGTCAAGGTCTATTTCCCCCAAACTCCACTAGTGCTCACTTTTGGGCATATTGAGTATTTGTGCCAAGATTGGTTCAGATCTATCATTATTAGAGTCCATAGTGCTCTCTGGATGTAGGTGAACTACAACTCCCAAACTCCAGGTCAATGCTCATCAGACCCTTTCAGTATTTTCAGTTGATCATGGGCGTTCTGTGTACTAAGCTTGGTTCATCTCCATCCTTATTGGAGTTCAAGTTTGGTTCAATTCCATCGTTGGTTGAGTTCAGAATGCTCTTTGTCTGTAGGTGAACTATAAATCCCGCAACTACAACTCCCAAATGTCAAGGTATATTCCCCCAAACTCCATCTAGTGTTCATTTTGGGCATATTGAGGATTCAAGTTTGGTTGAGATCCATCATTATTTGAGTCCATAGTGCTTTCTGGATAGGTGAACTACAACTCCAAAACTGAAGGTCAATGCCCACCAAACCTTTCCAGTATTTTCAGTTGGTCATGGGAGTTCTGTGTACTAAGCTTGGTTCATCTCCATCCTTGTTGGAGTTCAAGTTTGGTTCAATTCCATCGTTGGTGGAGTTTAGAATGCTCTTCGATTGTAGGTGAACTATAAATCCCAGCAACTGCAACTCCCAAATGTCAAGGTCTATTTCCCCCAAACTCCACTAGTGTTCACTTTTGGGCATATTGAGTATCTGTGCCAAGTTTGGTAGATCTATCATTATTTGAGTCCATAGGGCTCTCTGGATGTAGGTGAACTACAACTCCCAAACTCCAGGTCAATGCCCACCAGACCCTTCCAGGGGTCACGGAATTAGGAAGGTTGAGAAACATTGATCTAGATCTATTGTTGAAGTGGAATCTTCTTCTCCTATAATTTGAATCCGTGGCTTCCTTGAGTCCGAGTCTCCGGAGCAGCCGAAACCACGCTATCCTTTTTGACGTCCTTAGTTTCAGACATTGAAATGTGATTCTCAAATCATGTTTTCTCCAAGCAAAACATCAGGCACGGAGAGAGAGAGAGAGAGAGGCTGGCTCCATTGTGCTGTGGGTTGTGTGGTTGTGGTGGCTGCTGCCAAGGGACAACCACAATGGCCTTGCGCTTCCCATTGTGGTGGCTGGAGGAAGCAGAGGATCCGTGCCCAAAAGGGAATACCCAGCGCTGTCCACTCCAAAGCCGGCACCTCCAGGAATCACTGACCACAAGGGCCGTCCAGTCTGGCCCTCTGCTAAGCAGGAAGGCACAATCAAAGCATTCCTGACAGATAGCTATCCAGCCTCCAGCGAAGGAGACACCATCACACTCTCAATCAGTCTATAACACTATGCAACACGATCTAAGAGGGTTGAATGAAAACTAATGCCTCCCCCTTCGTAACTCCTCAACAGATGGCAGGACTGGTACGCCGCAGGTACTGGCTTGTTCACTAGACTCTCCTCTACAGTTCCATTTTGCCAAGAAGCCTCAGAATTGAACGGTTGTGTTGTTAGAGTGAAAAGTAATGCCTCCACCTTCGTAACACCTCAACAGATGGCAGTACTGGTATGCAGCAGGTACTGGCTTGTTCAGTAGACTCTCCTCTACAGTTCCATTTTGGCAGGAAGCCTTAGCAGAAAAAGTAATGCCTCCACCTTGTAACTCCTCAACAGATGGCAGTACTGGTATGCGGCAGGTACTGGCTTGTTCAGTAGACTCTCCTCTACAGTTCCATTTTGGCAGGAAGCCTTAGCAGAAAAAGTAATGCCTCCACCTTGGTAACTCCTCAACAGATGGCAGTACTGGTATGCGGCAGGTACTGGCTTGTTCAGTAGACTCTCCTCTACAGTTCCATTTTGGCAGGAAGCCTTAGCAGAAAAAGTAATGCCTCCACCTTCGTAACTCCTCAACAGATGGCAGTACTGGTATGCGGCAGGTACTGGCTTGTTCAGTAGACTCTCCTCTACAGTTCCATTTTGGCAGGAAGCTTTAGCATTGAAAGTAATGCCTCCACCTTTGTAACTCCTCAACAGATGGCAGTACTGGTATGCGGCAGGTACTGGCTTGTTCAGTAGACTCTCCTCTACAGTTCCATTTTGGCAGGAAGCCTTAGCAGAAAAAGTAATGCCTCCACCTTCGTAACTCCTCAACAGATGGCAGGACTGGTATGCGGCAGGTACTGGCTTGTTCAGTAGACTCACCTTTACAGTTCCATTTTGGCAGGAAGCCTTAGCAGAAAAAGTAATGCCTCCACTTTCATAACTCCTCAACAGATGGCAGGACTGGTATGCGGCAGGTACTGGCTTGTTCAGTAGACTCACCTTTACAGTTCCATTTTGGCAGGAAGCCTTAGCAGAAAAAGTAATGCCTCCACTTTCATAACTCCTCAACAGATGGCAGGACTGGTATGCGGCAGGTACTGGCTTGTTCAGTAGACTCTCCTCTACAGTTCCATTTTGGCAGGAAGCCTTAGCAGAAAAAGTAATGCCTCCACTTTCATAACTCCTCAACAGATGGCAGGACTGGTATGCGCAGGTACTGGCTTGTTCAGTAGACTCTCCTTTACAGTTCCATTTTGGCAGGAAGCCTTAGCATTGAATGGTTGTGTTGTTAAAGTGAAAAGTGATGCCTCCCCCTTCGTAACTCCTCAACAGATGGCAGGACTGGTATGCGGTAGGTACTGGCTTGTTCAGTAGACTCTCCTCTACAGTTCCATTTTGGCAGGAAGCCTTAGCATTGAACGGTTGCGTGGGTTTTTTTCCTTCTGTAATATTTTTATTGTTTTCTTATTTACATAAAAAGGGTGGGAACAGTAAGTT